GAACTCAGCTCTGGACACAGGGAACCTAATGAACATCTACAGAGCTCTCCACCACAAATCAACAGAATATATACTCTTCTCAGCACCACATCACGCTTATTCTAAAATCAACCACATAACTGGAAGTAAAACACTCCTCAGAAAATCCAAAAGAATGAAAATCATAACAGTCTCTCAGACCCCAGTACAATCAAATTAGAACTCAGTGTTAAGAAACTCACTCAAAACCACACAGCTACTTGGAAACTTAACAATCTGCTCCTGAATGACTACTGGGTAAATAACAAAATTAAGGCAGAAATAAAGAAGTTCTTTGAAACCAATGAGAACAAAGAGACAACGTACCAGAATCTCTAGGACATAGTTAAAGCAGTATGTATAGGGAAATTTATAGCACTAAGTGACCGCAGAAGAAAGTGGAAAAGATCTAATGTCACAATTAGAAGAACTAGAGAAGCAAAAGCAAACAAATTCAAAACCTAGCAGAAGACAAGAAATAACTAATATTAGAGCAGAACTAAAGGAGAGAGAGACATGAAAAACCTTCAAAAATAAAAATAAATGAATCCAGGAGCTGGTTTTTTGAAAAGATTAACAAAATAGATAGACTGCTAGCCAGACTAATAAAGAAGAAAATAGAGAATAATCAAATAGACACAATAATAAATGATAAAAGGGATATCACTGCTGATCCCACAGAAATACAAAGTTTCATGAGAGAATACTATGAACACCTCTACACAAATAAACTAGAAAATCTAGAAGAAATAGACAAATTCCTGGACACACACACCCTCCTAAGACTAAACCAGAAAGAAGTCAAATCCATGAATAGACCAATAACAAGTTCTGAAATTAAGGCAGTAATTAATAGCCTACCTACCAACAAAAGCCAGAACCGGAGAGATTCACAGCTACATTCTACTGGAGGTACAAAGAGGAGATGATCCCATTCTTTCTGAAACTATTCCAAACAATAAAAGAAGAGGAACTCCCCCCTAACTCATTTTATGATGCCAGAATCATCCTGATACCAAAACCTGGCAGAGACAACAACAACAACAACAAAATTTCAGTCCAGTCTTCCTGACGAACATTGATGTAAAAATCCTCAATAAAATACTGGCAACCTGAATCCGGCAGCACATCAAAAAGCTTATCCATCACCATCAACTTGGCTTCATCCTTGGGATGCAAGGCTGGTTCAACATATGCAAATCAACAAATGTAATCCATTACATAAACAGAACCAGTGACAAAAGCCACCTGATTATCTCGATAAATGCAGAAAAGGCCTTCGATAAAATTCAACACCCCTTCATGCTAAAAACTCTCAATAAACTAGGTATTGATAGAACGTATCTCAAAATAATAAGAGCTATTTTATGACAAACCCACAGCCAATATCATACTGAATGGTCAACAGCTGGAAGCATTCCCTTTGAAAACAGGCACAAGACAAGGATGCCCTCTCTCACCACTCCTATTCAATATAGTATTGGAAGTTCTGGCCAGGGCAATCAGGCAACAAATAGAAAAAAAGGATATTCAAATAGGAAGAGAGGAAGTCAAATTGTCTCTATTTGCAGATGAAATGATTGTATATTTAGAAAACCTCAGCCCCAAATCTTCTTAGGTTGATAAGCAACTTCAGCGACGTCTCAGGCTACAAAATCAATGTGCAAAAATCACAAGCATTCCTATACACCAATAAAATGCAAACAGAGAGCCAAATCATGAGTGAATTCCCATTCACAATTGCTACAAAGAGAATAAAATACATAGGAATATAACTCACAAGGGATATGAAGGACATCTTCAAGGAGAACTGCAAACCACTGCTCAAGGAAATAAGAGGACACAAACAAGTAGAAAAACATTCCATCCTCATGAATAGGAAGAATCAATATCATAGAAATGGTCATAGTGCCTAAAGTAATTTATAGATTCAATGCTATTCCCATCAAGCTACCATTGACTTTCTTCACAGAATTATAAAACCCACTTTAAATTTCATATGGAACCAAAAAATAGCCAGTATAACCCAAATCCTGAGCAAAACAAACAAAGCTGGAGGCATCATGCTACCTGACTTCAAACTATACTACAAGGCTACACTAACCAAAACAGCATGGTACTTGTACTAAAACAGATACATAAACCAATGGAACACAATAGAGGCCTCAGAAATAATGCCACACAGCTACAACCATCTGATCTTTGACAAACCTGACAAAAGCAAGTAATGGAGAAAGGATTCCCTATTTAATAAACGGTGTTGGGAAAACTGGCTACCCATATGCAGAAAACTGAAACTGGATCATTCCCTTATACCTTATACAAAAATTAACTCTAGATGGATTAAAGACAAACATAAGATCTAAAACCACTAAAGACCCTAGAAGAAAACCTAGGCAATACCATTCAGGACATAGGCATAGGCAAAGACTTCATGACTAAAATACCAAAAGCAAAAACCAAAATTGACAAATGGGATCTAATTAACTAAAGAGCTTTTGCACAGAAAAAGAAACTATCATCAGAGTGAACAGGTAACCTACAGAATGGGAGAAAATTTTTGCAATCTATCCATCTGGCAAAGGGCTAATATCCAGAATCTACAAGGAACTTAAACAAATTTACAAGAAAAAAACAACCCCATCAAAAAGTGGGTAAAGGATATGAGCAGACACTTATCAAAAGAAGATATTAATGTGGCCAACAAACGTATGAAAAAAAGGACCGCATCACTGGTCATTAGAGAAATGCAAATCAAAACCACAATGAGATACCGTCTCATGGCAGTTAGAGTGGCAATCATTAAAAAGTCAGGAAAAAACAGATCCTGGAAGGAATGTGGAGAAATAGGAATGCTTTTACACTGTTGGTGGGAGTGTAAATCAGTTCAAACATTGTGGAAGACAGTGTGGCAATTCCTCAAGGACCTAAAACCAGAAATACCATTTGACCCAGCAATCCCTTTACTGGGTATGTACCCAAAGGATTATAAATCATTCTACTATAAAGACATATGCACATGTATGTTTACTGCAGCACTATTCACAGTAGCAAAGACCTGGAACCAACCCAAATGTTCATCAGTGATGGACTGGATAAAGAAAAGGTGGCACATATACACCACAGAATACTACGCAGCCATAAAAAGGATGAGTTCATGTCCTTTGTAGGGACATGGATGAAGCTGGAAACCATCATTCTCAGCAAACTAACACAGGAACAGAAAACCAAACACCACATGTTCTCACTCATAAGTGGGAGTTGAACAATAAGAACACATGGATACAGGGAGGGGAACATCACACACCGGGGATTGTTGGAGGATGGGGGACTAGGGGAGGGATAACATTAGGAGATGACAGCTTGATGGGTTCAGCAAACCACCACTGCACGTGTATACTTATGTAACAAACCTTCACATTCTGCACATGTACCCCAGAATGTAAAGTATAATAATAACAAATTTAACTTCTGGGATACATGTACAGAGATGTTTCTATATCTTGACAGGGGCTTGGATTACATAGATGTATACATTTATCAAAATTCATTGAATCATAACACTAAAGATTTGTGCATTTCACTGTAATTGAATTTTATCTCAAGTAAGTAGTTAAACAAGTATTGACTTCCAGTTAATGATATGCATTCCTAAATGTTTAGGGGTAAAGTTTACTAAGGTTTTCAACTTTAAAATGTATCATAAAAATAAAGATGATGAATCAGTGGATGTACAGACAGATGGATATTAGATAATATGTAAAGAAGCCAATATAGCAAAATGTTAATTATACAATATACATGGGGGGCATTTGGGTGTTCATGATATAATTATTTCAATTTTTCTGTATGTTTGAACAATTTTCATAACAAAGTGTTGGGAACTAAAAGGCTTTGCTACTACTGCATTTCAAATAATTTTTTAAATTGTTGATGATATAATTGCTATTCTCTGTCTCACCAGAGACTGGTGTGAGACTGGGTGTGTTTTCTGTATTTTATCATATGGGACAAAAGGCAAATCAGTAACATCAGTTTGATTCAATTTCAATTTTCAAGGCATATCCCATAACATTTCAACTCAGATTTGCAGGTTGAATATGTAGAACAAAATAATGCTGGCCACAGATTACTTTTTTTTTTTTTTTTTTTTGAGACAGACTCTTCCTCTATAGCCCAGACTGGAGTACAGTGGTGCGATCTCGGCTCACTACAACCGCTGCCTCCCAGTTTTAAATGATTCTTCTGCCTCAGCCTCCCAAGTAGCTGGGCTTACAGAGCACGCACCATCATGCCCAGGTAATTTTTGCGTTTTTTGTAAAGACAGCATTTCACCACATTGGCCAGGCTGCTTTTGAACGCCTGACCTCAAGTGATCTGCCCTCATTGACCTCCCAAAGTATTGGGATTACAGGCATGAGCCACTGCACGTGGCCATGGCCACAGATTTCTATTATCAGATTTATGTTATTAAAAGGCTTTAGAAATGCTCAGGAAGAAATACTGTCATTTATCTGCTTTTAACTGAAAATAAATCATTATTTAACTAAGTCCTTTAAACTATTTCCTTTGAAATTATTTCTTGCTTTCACCAAAATATGTTACCATCTTTTCAGCAGTAGAAAAGTACAAGAACCGAGTGAAATTTTATGATTTAATTTAATTTGGTTGATTCTACCTTGGAATGAAATAAAAATACACATCTTCTGGCTTTGGGGGGAAAAAACTAGGGCAATAAACCAAACATAGCAAAAGAGAAGAAAAGTATTCTCAGGGGGAGTTATTCTACAAAATGGAAAATTTTCCTTCCCCTTTTAGTAATTTTTTTTTACAGTTAAAAAAAAAAAAAAACTCCAAGAAAGAACAATAAGTGAAATTTCTTAGCTGTGACCATTAAATATTACATTTCCAGTCAATATAAATTAACAAAAAAGAGTTTTATTTTGAGGTAAATAAAATATGAGGATTTCATAAAAACTTACCAGCAGCATTCCTGTCCCTGAGAGTGGCTAGGAAGGAACCTGTGAGTCCGATTCAAACAGAGTCTTCAGTGTCTTGGGGTCGGGCTGAATGGCCTTGTCTGTTAATAAACATATTCACTGAACGTTACCAGGCCATGAAGACGTAGGCATTTCCTGATGCCACTTCTTTAACCAAGGTTTACTAATCTCTCACCTGGAATTTTAATCAGGACTTAACCAAGGAGAATCTGTACCTCTAAAAAAGAAAATCTTCCCTTGTGAAAGATCAAGAAGGAAACAGGAAACTATAATGAAATGTAGTTATTGACTTTCTACCACCCAACCATCTGTAAATACCACTGCTATGCACAGCTCTGGGCGAGCAACAATTGTACTTTGGCTGAAACACAAGACATTCAACAGGTGGTTTACAGGAGTGACGTGTCAGAACACAGGTCAACTTCTATAGTATTCTTTAACGTCTTTAATGATAACAGGCAGGCCCAACACATGAGAGTTTGGTAAACAATTAACTTCAACCACAGCTTACCTTGGGACTTTACAGCTACTTGTCAGCTTTTGTCTTGGTTTTTATTGTGGTATATTAAGTGGCCCTTTGCTGTTTACTCTACAATAAGGAGATCTTATTCCCTTGCTTTATTCTTATTCATTATTTTTATATCTAGTTTCTACTTTTAGTTCAGCTGGGGAAAATACGAAGGGAAGAGATGAACTATCAGTAATAGTAAGGATGAGGGCTGAGGATGAATTTCCCTTAGACCACCTGACCAATTGTTGCAGCACTGATGTCTAACTTTTTTTTTTTTTTTTTTTTTTTTTTTTTTTTTTTTTTTTTTTTTTTGAGACAGTCTCACTCTGTCACCCAGGCTGGAGTGTAGTGACGCAATCTCGGCTCGTTGCAACCTCCACCTCCCAGGTTCTAAGCTATTCTCCTGCCTCAGTCTTCCAAGTAGCTGGGATTACAGGTGCACACCACCACGCCTGACTAATTTTGTATTGTTGGTAGAGATAGGGTTTCACCATGTTGACCACGCTGGCCTTGAACTCCTGACCTCAGGTGGTCTACCTGACTAGGCCTCCCAGCCAACTTTTGTCATTTTTGAACTCTGAGAAACAGTTGTCTCCTCCCCTTCAGTCTTCTGTAAAAAAAAAATTTAAGTTGACATTTAAAAAATTCACATACATACTGAATGTATAATTACATAGATTTTTAAAAGTTCTCTAGTTTATAAAATTTAGAAGGTATAAAACTCATTTCTCGCCATGGATTGGAATTAGCATACTGGTGTCTGAAAAAGCAAGAGAGGTTGAGATAGGGAAACTCATTGAGCATGCTAGTCACAGCACTATAGGGCTCTACAGGATTCTAACATCAACCTCCTCAGCAGTACTTTCATGCTGAAAATCCCCAGCAAATTAGGAAGAGAAGGAATCTTCTTCAATCTGATAAGGAATAAAAACCAAGAACTCACACCTTACTTAAAGGTGAAATATTGAAAACTGTCCTCCTAATGCAATAATACCCACAAAACACACTGGAGAATGTAACCAGGGCAATTAGGGTTCCCTTCACCGCATTTTCACACAGCAGTTTATTCCTTCTGCTTGATCTTTCTAGTTTGGGGAAATACATTATTTCTTGAAGTAGTCCTTTCCATCTTTTTAGAGTTGTGACTATTAGAAAAGATCAACTTATATTAAAGCGAATTTTGTTTCTCTGGAATTTCTACCAGCAGAGTTTATTTTCACCCTTCGAGGTACACAGAACGTTTCTACTTCCTCAAGAAAACTGGCGTATCTGAGGGCACACCATGTGAGACAGAAATCTGCTAGTTCTTTTACTTGCTTTTGATTATGTCAGAAACTCACGTCTCTTAGACACCCTCCTCCTTTTCATTTAGATTGTTTCTAGTTTGCTGAGTGTCCATCTGGGCAGTGTGGTGTCCAGAAGCTTGTGCGGCGTCCGTGAGGCTTCTGCTCAGCACACAACAGAACAGGGAATTGCCTCTTCATCACAGAAAACATTGTTTCCTTAAACAGAAAATATAACATGTAATTTTAACATTCTATACCACGTAATTTAATCATAAAATATAATTAAAATGATAATTTCTTTATACAATGAATTAGTGTCTCCACATCTTTTTTACATCTGTTGCAGGTAAGCCAGATTTTCTGTATTCTGTAGTAGCAAAGATGCTTTATTTGAAAATAAATGTAGTTCCTTACATTTCTGTCTCCTGAATTCTATCTTAATCATTTCTGTACAACGTCAAGTCCATCTAACTCTGTTATATGGTCCATATCTCTCAAAGCTTTATGTCTTTTATACATTTGATAAGCCTATTGACTTGATAACTCTGTCAAGTTACAGGTAAAACTGTTAAAAGTACAAGCGGAAGACAGCATAGACTCTTAACAATTTGATTTAAATGTACTAATTGCCATTCTTTGGTTATGTTCCTCATAATGAATTGTCATGTGGACGCTACTATCCGTTCAATGTTTTTATGTAATCACACATTGTTATAAAGACACTGTCAAGGAACCGTTGACAGCCAGTTATGCTATTTTGTTGATTACTGTAAATCTACTCTAGCAAATACGGTTGGTTGAATATCAGTTGTTCTTGAGAATGCATTGTGGTCTTAGTGATCATAGCTTTCTATTTTACAAGTTTGTACATGTTTCTTTTAATAGTGATCAATCTCTGAGGATGAGATATCTCTCGTCTTCAGTTAGGGAAACTGGAATATTTGGTGCTGAATATTTGAATATTTGGTGGGTAGCGATTTTTTGTTTTCTCTGAGAGTAGAATGCTTTCTGTAGTTGGTTTTTCTCAGGATGTTTCTTTTAAGATAGTTTTTGGACCTGGACCCTAAACAAAAATTTGGTTCTGTGTCTGTCTGTGCTTTATTTCAAGAAAAACGTACTTTAACAGCTGGTACAAATAAGACCTATAAAGAATTAGCAAAGAGTTTATAACATAGGTGTCTGATGCAAATTTTTCTTAGACACGAACTTTGTTTTAATTTACATTTTATACTAATAAACTTCAAATTTTAAAGGTTCAAAAAGACATACAGAAAAAAATCTGTTGTTATTCCTATTTTCAGCCATCCAGTTATCCTTACTAAAGATAACAAATGTCTCTTCCAGAGATATTTTATGCATGTATCATCTAATATGTAAAAATATTCTGCTTTTTTTAGCCAAGTATTTTTTAGCACAAATAGTAGATTACCACATTTTTTGTATTGGTTTTTTGCATTTAATACATCTTGGAGATTATTCTAAGACATAAACCCTTTAAATAATTATGAGGGCTTGTTCTTTCAAATGCCATATTAAATTTTTTTCCCTGTGCTAGAGTTGGTTGCTTTTATTTTAATATGAAAATATTATTAAATATCATTATTAAAAAAAATTTTTTTAAGTTAACATGGACCACTAGATGGTGCTGTCATCCCAAA